ACTAAGCCTGTAGTACCAGAAACAGGAATCAATCTATGAGTCAAATAATTTCCACTAGCTTTTTTATCTTTATAAGTAAATGTGAGCTGATGTTCAGGTTCAATGCATTTCTCAGTACTTCTCCTTAAGGTAAGTTTATTATTTTACTTGTTTTAGTTATCTGATCAAGCTTGCTATCAACCCCAAGACAAATAAACTGTTTTTTTGTTTTAAGTCCACACTAACGATTTTTACTTTTGACTTGGCCCTATCTAATTTATTATATATCTTTTATATCAAAGTCATTTTTCAGGATATGTTTAATGTCATGTAGTGAACCATTTGCATCGGCTGCACCTACGTTACACGAACACTCGTTTCTGACTAGTTCCATTGCAAATCTTGGAAGCTTAACCAAGTTGTATTTTTCAATAGAAATTATTTATTGGCTTCCGTTTACCTTCATCCTAAAAAAAATAAAAATATAAAATGCTGTTTGTTTCATCTATTACAATTAAAGGGTGCAAGGGTGATGTCACATTTTTTTCATTTTGAGAAAACAAAAAAATAAGGTTTGAAGACTTGCGTTACATGCTATGACCAGCTCCATATATATTTGTATAGTTTTTAAATCAGTACAATCTATTACTTGACTGTTGGCAAAAAATTTTGAAATGTGAATGTAAGTTTTACATGCTGCATTGAATCTTGGATTCAGTATTTTTTTTGGACATCACTGGTTATCCCCTTGCAATTGGAATTTTTTTTAATTTAGAAACCAAAGCAATGTTCAATTTTTTTAATAACACATTCAAATGCATAACTGTTATGTTTTATTTAATTAAAGAGTTGAGAGAGGTTTGTACCGCTAGTAACAACAACAACAAAAAAGTAAACACAAAAAAATGAGCAGCCTCCTTGACTGTAGTGGCCCACCTCGGGCCGTGGGGAGGGGAATAGTAATAATAAAAAAAAAAGTTGTTGTATAAGCTTTTCCGTAATACTATGTTTAAAAAATATATTCATTAAGTTTATTTGGTTAATCCATATTTCAACAACTTTCTACCCCTAGCCTAAAATAATTAATTATCTAACACAATTTTGCTTTTTAAAAAAATGCACGTTAAAGAGTGTAAAGAATTTGATTTTATTTTAAGATTTACAATACAAAAATGATTACTGTTAAAAAATCAAAAGTCTTTTTTAATACATTTTTAATAATATACTACCATGTTTAAAATAATATATTAAAAAACAAAATTTACTATGATTTCAAAATAAATTTATCTTTTTCCTTTAATCGCTATCTGTTACAGTAATTTAAATTCACTCATATTCAGACAACTCTGATACTAAGTCATTATCACTTAACTGACCTTTGTGAGGCAGGTCGTTAAAAAACTGCTGGGCCTCTGGCATGCAAAAATATTTTAGAACTTGAAGGTCTGCATACTTTTCACAGCTGATCGGCAATCTTGTTGTACAAACATGTAAGGAGTTTTTCCAATAACTGCTTCTTTTTTCCGATAGCTTTTGTTATAAAAACTCTTTCAAAAGATCCATTCCAATTAAATCTGTATTGTAACATAGTAGGAAAATCTTGTGAGAAAATTATTTCACATATAGGACGTGATGGTATTGGACATTTAACTTTGTAAAATTGTTTCATATGATCAGAAAAATTATAGAACATTTTCAGTTCCATCATAATAATTTTAAATGGTGAAGGTTTTTCATGACAGGTATGAAATTCTTCCATCCAATTTACTGGTAGCTCTGCTTGAACCTTCTGATTAACTAACACCATATCTCGATCACACTCTATGTAGCTGTGGCCTTTTATTGGAAAAGATATCTTTATTTCGTGAAACCGTTTTTTATTCACAACATTGAACTGCAAAAAACGAATAACAGTCCAGTTCTTATTTTGTCCACAGGAATCACAAAAAAGCTGCAAATGAGATACATCTTTTGGTAAAATGTCTTCAAAATAGTACTCCAGCATACTTGCTACCTTGTCCGCTCCTTTCTGCCTTAAGTTTCATCATAACAAAACAAGTTTGACCCTAAGCAGTGTATATTAAATGTGTACATAGAGATCTGTCTATGATAATAAACATCATTTGTAGATATATTAGGACAACTCATATTCTTCGCAAAGTCAAAAGCAAGAACTAGATGACCAGTTTTTGAATTACTATGCGCTTCTGTCTTTCTGGTATAAAACATTTCTGCTTTTCGCAAATGAAGGTCTTTTTTGTGACTAGCTTTGATGATCTTCAAGTATAATATTAAGCTTGTCGCATGTTGAGCATGTATCTTTACGAGGATAACCAAAGCTGATGTTAAATTTTTCTGCAAATATTTTCCTGATAAGAAAAGTAGACAATTAGATAATATCAAATAATACTCTTATAAATAAGCAACTAAATATTATCAAAGTACCTAAAGCTTTTACAACAAACTTTATTTTGTGGGAGACGCTCTTTGTACATTTTATACATTTTCGATAAATTAAGATCCTCTGGCAAATACAACTTTCTCGTTTCATGCAAAGCAAAATGACTTTGGCATCCTTTAAAAGATTTGATATGATCAATGATACTATTTACAATATTCTCTGAAAAGGTGATAGGTCAGTTTGTATGTTTTTCTTGCTGGTTTAAAGGAGGAACTCCTTAAAAATGTCAAATGTACAAGCTTCATATGTTTATATGTTTTAACTTGATTAAATCAAATTCTATTATAATTTATAGGGGCTTAAATTCAGACAAAAACTTTTCTTTTGTAAAAGATAAATTTGTGTGTGCATTATTTATTCAAATCAATAATTAGTACTTAATAATGCAAAATGTTTATTTATTTCTACTAATCTGTCTTAACAAGAGATCCTCTTATTCTTTCTATTCTTGATTTTCCAATGCCAAATATTGATAAGATAGCATTGATACAAACTGAAACTCTTATGATATTATTATCTCGTGCCACTTTGATATAATAAGAGAATGAATGTCATAAAGTAACCTTTTTCAGCTGGTTTTCCCCTTGCACCCTACAATTGTTTCATGTATTTTTAAAATATTTACCTCCATATAAGATAAACTACTTGTTTCTTCAATTATGTTTATGTATGGTGTGAGGGATTCATCATTATCAACTAGCTTAAAAAATATTTTTTATCGTTCTATATCAAGTCTTTGAATCCTTTTGACAGATAATCTATCAATGGAAGAAAGTTGATATGCACCCTCTGATCACGAAGATAAGCTAAGAGGAACTTTATTACTTTTAGAGTGAAGGCATACAATATGCTCCATAATGCAATTTTCTTTATTACATTAAACCTTTCTGTCACTACAGGGAAACACATCTAATGAACAGGAACACCCAGAAATATCAAAAGATTTGTTAAAGTTTGCATCAAGATTTTTTTTAGCGCTTGCTTTTCTGTGCTTGTGATTAATATCCTTAACAAGTACGAGAAGGTCTTTAACTTTCCTATTAATAGATTTGTCAGTTATAAGAAGTAAACTTGGGTTTACTGTA